ATTATCTTTCATTTTATTTTATTTTTTTTATTTTTCATCACACCCACATGACTTAACCTAAGGAGCTCGGAACCGAGCTCCTTAGGTTAAGTCATGTGGGTGTGATGAAAAATAAAAAAAATGAAGATAAATTATCTTTCATTTTATTTTCATTTTTTTTCATATTTTTCATCACACTCACATGACTTAGCCTAAGGCTTAGGCTAAGTCATGTGAGTGTGATGAAAAATAAAAAAATGAAAATAAAATGAAAGATAATAATGGAAGACCCTTCTTCACGTGCTCTGATCGACATGAACCTTGCAAATTTTATCCTAAGATATGTGATTTACGGCGACATGTGGGTGTGATGTAGGGTGGATGTGGGGTGGATGTGGGGTGGATGTGGGGTGGATGTGGGGTGGATGTGGGGTGGATGTGGGGTGGATGTGGGGTGGATGTGGGGTGGATGTGTGGTCGATGTGGGGTCGATGTGGGGTCGATGTAGGGTCGATGTAGGGTCGATGTGGGGTCGATGTGAGGTCGATGTTGAGCTTATCTTAGGATAAGCTTAAGGAGCCCAGCTCCGAGCCTAAGGAGCTCGGCTTCGAGCCTAAAGAGCCCGGCTCCGAGCCTAAGGAGATCGGCTCCGAGCCTAAAGAGCTCGGCTTCGAGCCTAAGGAGCCAGAAGCTTCACAGATGCTATGGAGCTCGGCTCCATATGGAACAAAACCTATGGAGCTCGGCTCCGACCCTAAGGAGCTCGGCTCTGAGCCTATCGAGCTCAGCTCCGAGCTTATCGAGCTCAGTTCCAAGCCTATGTAGCTCGGCTCCGAGCTAATCGAGCTTGTCTCCGAGCCTATTGGGGCTCGGCTCTGAGTTTTTCGAGCTTGACTCCGAGCCTATGGATCTTGGCTCCGAGACTATGGAGCTGGCCAATATCTTGGATAATGAAAGCAGGCACAATGATGAAAGCAGCCACGATGACGAATCGGATAGTGAAACGTCTCAAACAATTGGCGATATCTATTAGAAGCATAACTTTGTAAAGCATTTTGAAGAAATAAATGTATTTTAAAAAAGTGAAATCTTGTGCGAACTTTTGCCTGCGAAGCCACGCGCCGGATTTTACGGTAATAAACAATCTGATGACTTTGGCGGTATACGTTTTAGAGAGCCACGAACGACAAAATTTCGACATATCTTGCATATAATCTGTAATAACTCTCTGTTCGTTAGTATTTTTTTCCTGTCTCAAGCTCGCTGGGTGAAATAAAAAAATTGTATATATCCACACGGGGTGGGCGGGTTAATCACTTTTTAATTAATGACTCTGTAATATGTAAATATCGACCATAACAACGGCGTTGACAGCGATTTTAACTTGGGCTTAGCAACTGCTTAGTTTTGTTTAAAAATTTTCAAATGTATGTATATGGATTTTTATTATTCCTTGTTTAATATAATAGTCCTAAACATGGTGATTACGTCGCCAGGGAAGACCAAGGACAGTTATAAGTAGTGGACGCTCCAAGATTATCTAATAAAATCTTGTAATACGTGATAAAATCAAATATATATCACCTTTTATACTCTATGTCTATTGCCATTTATGATTTTGGGGAATTTTGAATAAACTGGGATATTCTCTGCAGAATTCCTCCCGGAATCTTTGCAAACTCCTATAAGTCAGGAATTTTCGTAACACACAATTCTCACTGCGCATGCGTATAAGTACAATATCTACATCCCACAAGCATTACACCAATTTTAGTAGAATATATATAAAGAATGTGTTGAAATCCACTCAGTTTGTTAGAAGGAATCATAGAATAAGAAATGAATAGAAGGGCAACTCGCGTCGAACCTCTGAAGTTTTTGAAGCCGCGCATGTCGCCTCGCGCATACCGGAAATTGCCCGCTCTAATTACTCGCAGCCAGTAAAGCCAGTCAATTTATTAGAGATTTGTATTGCAAAATGGCCATTTGGCTGAATAAATCGACTATTTTTTGCAAACGAACGATTCAAATTACAAACCACGGCTGCTGGTTGTAATTTGAAGGTTAGTGAATACATTTCTGTTGGTTATGAGCTGTTAAAGAATTGCTAAATGCGAAATTTAAACGTATTAATACATGTTGTTTACTTACAAGGTATAAAGTACAGTATATTCAGTATGATATGATATTGTGATGACGTCATGGGTAGTGCATAGCACCACCAGCACCACCCGTCTCAGAACCCCTCTTGTGTATACTACTCAAGTCAATTTCATTTTAAAATTTATATTTTATTACATATTTTTAATATATTATACATTGCTATAATATATGCATGTCTATACTGTCGCTTGCGAGATTGGGCCGGCTGTGATCTATAGTATATGTCTGGAATGCAAGTTCAATCACAGGGGGAAGAGGGAGGGGGTGGGGGGTATGAAAATTTATTATATTTCCTTAAATATAAGGGGAAGGTGGGCATGAAAAATATTTTGAAGAATGAGGGGCCATGAAAAATTTACCATAAGTTTAGAAATATCTTCCGCCCCCCCCCGCATTAATGCACCAGTCATTTGGTGTCCCTGACCTTCCAGCACCTCGGGGATACCTGGGGCATACCTGGGATATCCGCGAGCCACCGTTTTGTCCCTTTCCCCGGTCACTGGGGAGTGTAGCCACTGCGCTGGCCATCAGGTTTGGCGCCAATGTACGGGGATCTACACTCATGTTGTTTTACACTGCATGTTTATTAATGTTTATTTTTGGCACACATGCATATTCTCGCATTGCTGGCGCTGTCGCCTAGTTGTTTTCAAATTCTTCTAACCCTCGCAAGCCAGACTTTGGCTTTCTACTATAAAACTTTTCAAGCTTCATGAGTTCATGTCGACGTTTTATATGCCTTTTGTATAAATTGATATAAATTCAGTATTTTTATTTTCCTCGTTGTTTGGTGAGAACTCGGGATCTAGAGTGTAAACAAATATGGTTTGCAAAAATATTGCTTCAAAATTACGCAACCAGCTAGCCCGAAAATACTTTTTAAGTCTTCAGCATTGCTCCTTCAATTTGGTTTGATTTGTCTTTGGCGTAGCGTACGCTTGATATTTTCAGTTCGCGTGACATGAAGCTGCATGACATTTCAGGTAGCAGCGGCGTAGCCAGCTCGAAAATTGGGGAGGGGGGGGGTTCGTATTCATAGGCCTGTGTTCTGCATTATTAATTTATTTTGAAAGCAATTGCTTTTAAGGTCTGTGAACACGAATATATGAATATGCCCCCCCCCCCAATTATCCGAGCTGGCTACGCTGCCGCCAGGTTGCGTAATTTTTAAAACAGTTGTAGAACAGCGAGTTAATTATGTGAAAACATTTAACAAAAAGTTTCCAAAAACGAAATTTTGCAATCAGATATATCATAAGGGAAAAAATTTATATAAAATAATAAAATTATACCGAATGTTTCAATTCAGACACAATTTGACATGTTAAAGCCGATTTCCATTCAGTGCAAAATGTTGTGTGATTGACTTTTTGCGATCACTTTCTTTTGAAATGTGTGAAATTGCGTGTATTTCAAAAATCAATCGTGCGACATTTTGCACTGATAGGAAAATCAACCTTTACCACCATGTTTTGTCACGGTTTTAATTATAACTTCAGTATAAAAGATTTCCGGCGGGACATTTTGTGTTAATTAAACAAGTGTCGCATTAACATAGCGATTTTAAAAGCTACCTATATATTGAATATCAGGGAGAAGGCTGGGGAGTTATTATTATTATTATTATTCATTTATATAGCGCCATTTCCCATAGCTCAATAGCGCTTAACATCAAGTGTTAAAAATATATACTAAGTGTTAGAACATAGTGCATGCATTGACTACTAAAATTACTATACTATAAAATTACTAAAAAATAATTATATGCTCTTCTCGTTAAGAATATAAAATTACTTTATGTTATGTATGTTGATAATATTAAAACAACAACTATATAGAATACTATAAAATTGCTAATAATCTTGTTAAAATAATAACTTAGTCATAATACTGTTTAAAAAGATGTGTCTTTAATCTGGTTTTAAAAATAGGCAAGGTCTCACTCTTTCTAGTATACTCTGGCAGTTCGTTCCACAGTTTCGGTGCAGCATATGAGAACGATCGTTCACCATAGTTCACTAGTTTTACTGAAGGTATGGTAAGCAATCCTTTGGATGAGGAGCGTAAATTTGCTGATGGTGTGTAAGGTTTTAGCATGTTATTAATGTAATGTGGAGCTGAGCCATTCAGAGATTTATACGTGATAAGAACAATTTTATAGATGATGCGTTGACTGATGGGGAGCCAATGTAATTGTTTCATTAATGGAGTAACATGGTCGTATTTTCTGCTTCCTGTCACCAGACGAGCAGCACAGTTTTGCACATTCTGTAATCGATCTATAAGAAATTTAGGTAGTCCGTATAGCAAAGAGTTGCAATTATCTAGTTTCGATGTAATAAAGGCATGAACTAGGGTTTGGATATCTGATTTTGATAAGTACTCTTTTAGTCTTGCTATTTTTCTCAAATGGAAAAAACAGTTCTTGCAAATGTTGGTAATATGTTTATCCATGGACATGTGTTGATCGAAGGTTACACCGATGTTTCGTGCTGAAGTACTTGGTTGAACTATTGACTTAGATATTTCTATATGGTGTACAGCAGGGCATAAACGATTTCGTGCATTGATTACTAGTAGCTCAGTCTTGTCCCCATTCAATTTTAATTTATTTTTGACCATCCACAAATCAATCTCCTTTACACACATTTCGATTTGTACCAGTGCTCCCGCTTTTCCTTCAGTGGTTGACTCAAAAGCGAGATATAATTGCGAGTCGTCTGCATAAAAGTGAAAATCAAGATCATAACCTCTGATGATATCACCAAGGGGTGAAGTGTATAGTAAATATAGTATAGGGCCGAGAACTGATCCTTGTGGGACTCCACAGCGCAAGTCTTTAGAGATAGATTTAACACCGTCAATCACTACACTTTGCGTTCTATTCTGAAGATAGGACTGAAACCATCTCAACACTTGCCCATCTATCCCAAATCTTTTGAACATTCGTTGTAATAAAAGTTCGTGATCAACAGTATCGAATGCTGCTGACATATCTAGTAATAGCAACACCACACACTTACGATTATCAATGGCTACAAGAATATCGTTTATGGTTGTTTCTGCACTATGAAAACGTTTATATGCCGACTGGAAGGGTTCTTCTAATTTGTTATTAGCCAAGTGTTCCAGAAGCTGACCGGCAGCAACCTTCTCAATTACTTTAGACAGGAATTTTAAATTTGAAATAGGTCGGAAATTTGTGTATTCTTCGTAATCCACCGAATCTTTCTTTAGTTTTGGTTTCAACACGGCTTCTTTTAGTATCTCAGGCATACAACCTGACTGAAGTGACTCATTACTGATCTTAGTAATTATAGGTAAGAGAGTCTTCGATCTGACAACCTTGAAAGATTTTTGCGGGCACTGGATCAAGTTCACAAGATTTTTTACCAACTTTATCAATAACATTTTCAATCTCATGTTCCGTGACTTCTTGAAAGTTAATGAATTTAACGCATTGTGCATATTGTTCCTCTTGATTTCGTTGATTACAGTGGGAAGAATCGATGGCTAGTTCTTTCCATATAATAGCAATCTTATTATTGAAGAAATCTGAAAATTTATTCACAAGTTCAGTCGTTGATGACGCAGTTGGATAGCGCTTTTCTGGCTTTCGATGGAGTAATTTATCAACCGTACTAAATAACACTTTCTGATTATG